ATAAATGCATGTTTTACATATGGATTTCACTTGATGGTATACATAGGAATCAGATTGATTACAACTGTGGAAAGAACCCCTGGATATCAGTAACTCAATATCAGCTGTGAAAAGTAGGCCAGGTTCTGATTGTGGAACAGACCAGCTACTCAAATGCAAGTTCAAGCTGAAGCTAAAGAAAATTAAATCCATGGGAACAAAAATATGACCTTGAGTCTATCCCACCTGAATTTCATAATCATCTCAGGAACAGGTTTGAGGCCTTGCACACTAATGAGCGAAGACCAGATGAGCTGTGGGAGAATATCAAGAGTATCATCCAGGAAGAGTGCAAAAGGTCATTACAAAGACAGAGGAAGAAAAGATCAAAATGGATGTCAGTAGAGACTCTGAATATTGCAGTAGAGTGCTGAGAAGCCAAAGCAGAGGGAAGAATTCAAGATATTAGAGAGCTGAACAGAAAATTTCAAAAGGCAGTGTGGGAAGACAAAGTAAAATATTACAATGAAATGTGCAAGGGGCTGGAGTCAGAAAAATCAAAAAGGCTGAACTCACTCAGCATTTCTTAAGCTCAAGGAACTGAAGAACAAATTCAAACCTCAAAGTGCTATACTAAAGGATGCTTTGGGCAAAATGTTAAATGATCCAGGAAGTAGTAAAAGAAGATGGAAAGAGTTTACAGAGTCAATATACTGAAAGGATTAGACAGACACAGACGAGTTTCTTGAAGCAACATACGAACAAGAGCCTATGTTGATGAAGGAAGAAGTTCAAGCTGCTTTGAAGGAATTGGCAAAAAATAAGGCCCCAGAAATTGATGGTATACCAAGTGATATATTTTACCTAACAGATGCTGCCCTAGATATGCTCACCATGTTGTGTCAAGAAATCTGGAGGATAACCACTTGGCCAACTGACTGGAAGAAATCTATGTTTGTTCCCTTTCCAAAGAAAGGTAATCCCACAGTGTGTGGAAATTATCGAACAATATCATTGATATCACATGCAAGCAAGATTCTGCTGAAGATCCCAAAAAGACTGGAAGAGCATATCAGCAGAGAATTGCTAGAAGTAAAGGCTAGTTTCAGAGGATTGATGCCTTTGAGCTGTGGTGTTGGAGAAGAGTATGGAATATACTATGGACTGCTAAGAAAATGAACATGTTCAGCCTGGAGAGGGTTAAACCAGGCTGCTCCTTGGAGACAAGGATTCTGAAGTTTCGTCTGACATACTTTGGACATGTTGCAAGGAGGGACCAGTCCTTGGAGAAGTATATCATGATTGGGAAGGTAGAGAGACAGCACAGAAGAGGAAGACCCTCGATGAGTTAGATTGATTCAGTGACTGCGGTAATGGGGGTAGGTGTGTCAGAGACAATGCGATTGGCGTATGATAGGGCAGGGTTTAGGGCTATTGTCCATAGGATCACTGTGAGTTGCAGGCGACTCCACAGCACATAACAACATGATATATTAAGGTTGCTTGAAAGTTAAGAACTCTTCCTCATTAAGCAAACTGGGTAAAATGAGAAACAATTAGTCTATTATTTTCAAATTATAAGTATTTATTAACTATTCTCTTTCTGTCATATTCATGTAGTTACATACACACAAAGCATATTTTTAACAGTAAAGAGTAAATTTTGATAATATGTAATGAATTATAGAAGGCTCCTTGTATTTTAATAATAAAATCTTTGATAAATTTAAAAAACCACTCTCCCATGTCTAAGCAACAAAATTCCAGTCATTCCCTCAAATTATAATAGAATCCACTCTGCAACCCTCATTCCATACTCTTAAGATAAACATAATGCCCTAAAGTATACTACTTTTAAACTATTTGGGGTGGGGGTGGGGTTGGAGGGTGTGCTGGGGGTGGGGGGATTGTGTACCAATGAATGAGTTTTACTTTTCAAGGAGAGGAGCGAACAGGGGTGGGGGTTGGGCGGGGAGAAAAGTGCAACAATGAATGAATGGAATTCCAAGATCTCTGTAAAGTTCATTGAAATGATGAATGAATGAATGAATGAATAAATAAATAAAATATATTTGCCATAATTTTTCCTCATTTCCATTTTGTAAAAAAAAAAAATTCTTAATAGAAGCAAATCTATTTAACTACCTGTGCTGATGTAGTTACGTTTGTCTTGCTCACAAAAATTGTATTATCCTTTCAGGTGCCTTCAAGACTTTATATTGAATGGGTTCTTCTTTGGGGAGAAGGGACCTAAATTATTTGTATTTAACTTATTGAATACTTTCATTACCTCAAAGAAACCCTGTACTTGTTAGCAAGCATTCCTTATATTCATTTTTTATTTCTAATAGCTGATGTTAGATGAGTCTTAGCTGAAAG